GCCAACCTGAGACTGAAGGATAAGGATAGGCCCCTCCCTGATGATCAAGGGCAGGGCACTAACCCCACGATGATCAGATCTGCCTGGGGTTTGGTTCCCTCCGCAGCTGCTGGGCAGAGCCTCTGAAGGGACCGACTAAGGAACATATCCAGAAGACACTGCTAATGACTGAGGGCAAGAAGACACATACATGCTCAAATTTGCTGCCACAAAAATCTATACATTAAGATATGAAATGAAATGGGGTTTCTCCAGGCACAAGTTCCTCAAATATTCTTATCTTTTGCTCTAAGTGTACAACTTATCATGTATGATCTTGCTCCAAACATAAAGTCAATGTCTGTCTGCACCTCACCCCTATGGCACCACTCACTAAACTGAAATCCATTTCACTATTAGGTGAACAGAGCACTGATGATGCCTGCAATGGGCAAAGGATGAAATAAAGTGCTTGAGAAGGGAGTGAAGGCTCCTCAACGAAATGGTTAATAGTCCCCGTCACCTCCTTGATCACTACAAATCACTGGGACCTCACAAAGCTGGGGAAGACCCGGGCCCTCATAGTTCAGAGTCTTCCACATGGTTCAGCAGCTACAACTCAAACAAAGAAAGGCCTCCGAGGGAGAGACTCCTGGGGGCAGTAAGGTCAGTACTTTTGTTCTCCAAAAGGGGCCTGCAGGTCTTGATGGAATTCTCAGCCCTGGCCAGGCTGGGTGCTCAGTGTTTCATGGAGAGGCAGGAAAAGTAAGGAGAGCCAGCAGGTAACTACTTTGCCGTCAGAGGTTAGCAAATGCCTAGAGTGAGGCACGCAGGGGAGTCGGGGCTTCCGTCAGGGCACCTGGGGCTCCCTGCTTGTTCACTTGCTAGAGGACAGCCTGTGCACACACGCTCAGACGTGTGCCCCAAGTTTAATCTAAGAAACAAAGCTTCGTTTTCCATCCACTGCAGACAAAAGGCTTCACTTGGGAAACTCAGTTTTAGCTGGGAAAAAGGGAAGGGTTTTATTTGGCTGTTTACACTCAAAAAACCAAAACAGAACAAATACAAACACAAACACAAAACTAAAACCACACCCACTTCGGGACAGAGTTGTATGGGAAAAGCTGAGCAGGAACTGGCCTTCATTTTTATACCTTCCTGAGAGGCACATGACAGGAAACCATTCCTGTACTATGATAAGTCTGAATTCAACAACGAAGGTAATGGGGTGGGAGGGGAGTGGTAGTCAGGGCTGGTGCTGCCTCAGGTGACATGCATGGGTTTTGTTAGCAGAACTACTGGGAAGCAGGGCCCTCAGAGCCACAGGGATATCAGCACTGCGGCACCCACACCCACAGCCCCCTCACTGAAGCGCTGTGAATGATGGAGGGTGGACCCACAGTCCAAGATGCAACTTAGGACACATTTCGATGAGGGAAGAGGAACCTTTCCCTGCAACACCTTTGGTGAAGGAAAAACAATTAGCCAACAATTTGAGTTCAGAAGAATGGAGGGGAATCACTGGTAACAATGGCTAGTATTTTTGAAGCACTGCTATGTGTCATCAGTTCATTTTATCCTCCAGTTGACATCTATGAATAGTGAAGAGTCCCTGTTCCAGAGGGGAAACTGAGGTCCTGAGAGTTAACCACTGCCCCCAGGGTTCCCCAGAGGCCAGCTGGCTACTCAGCCTGAGCCCAGCCCCTTAACACTTTCATTCCAGTCCCAAGAAGCTCACATGGTGAGCCTGCTTTTTTTCAGTCTTTATAATAATTAACCCTTATAATAATGCTGAGATGCATACCAAACCAGAACCATGTGCTTTGGGTTAAGATTAAACTAGAGACAATGGGCCAAAATCATGGCATTCAGAGCGACAACTACCTGGGCATTGGGCAACCTGTCTCTGGGCAAGGAGCTGCTAAAACTGTTTTTAACCTGAAAAATCAGCTTTGGACTTCTTTTTTTCTAGTTGGAATAGGAGGATATAAATCATGTTAATATCGCTCTATTGGAGTTAATATAGTCCAAAAATCTATCTTCTCTCAATGTTCTACCTTTTCTAGTAACAAAATCACTATAGCATTACAGCAAAATAAGATTGTTTTCTATCAACCAAACCCCAAGAACAAGGGCATGGGAGCTGCAGCAATGCTGTTCCTGGGAAGGCCAGAAGGAAGAGAGAAGAGGCAGAGCACACGGTAAGACCTGCAGAGAAGGCAGGTTTGGGGTATGTACCCAGATACTCCCCACCGAGCACTGCGCCTTCTGCCAACAGGTTGTGTCTAAGCAGAAACCCAACCTGATGAGAAGCAGCCAGCACACGAGATGGCGGAGAAAAGATACCAGCCAGCGGGAGCATCCACTGGCCAAAGCTGGAAAGACACTGGTGGCTGGAGCAGCGTGAACCAGGGGCAGTAACTGGAAGTGAGTCAAAAGGAGCGGGAGGCCCTGCCAATCCTCGCAAACCCTGGTAAAGAATGTGAAAACAGTGGAGGATTTTAAACAAGGGGACAACACAATCCCGTTCATTTTCAAAGTCTCATTTGGCTCTTCGGTGGGAGGCAGCAGTTACAGGTGTGTGCTCATTTGCAGGTTGGGGAAAATCCATCTGAACCCAAGGTCCTGGCTCAGCTTTCTACCTGGCAGCATGTCTCCCATTCTCCGAGGCAACTAAAGATTCAACTTGTTCATAACCAACTCTAACTGGTACCTCATTGGCCAAAAAATAAAACTGAAACATTGTTCATTTTAAAAATATTTGTTCCATTCAGCACTTTGAAAAGGTGGATCAGAATAACTTTAAAAAATGTATTTATTGTTCAAATGTGCCCTGCTTATTACTTCCAACAAACATTTGAGGCCATTGTTACAAAGCTGTAAGTAATGGGATGACTTAAAGTTCTCCCTGGGAAAATGTTTACATCGTATTATAATACAGGTTACAGTGTCAGTTTGGGAAAGAAACATTAACTTCAAGAATTTAAAAAGCTCAGTTTGTTCTAAGGGTTGAGTTTGGCTGCCAGCACAGCTTCCTCATGAGCCAAGTCCTTCACTTTAACCCACTTTTGCATTTCTCTTCCTTTATCCTGACCCTCTGGAGAGTTTGTCTGGTTTTGCTGCTCACTGGCACCCCCATCAGAGACTGAGCAGAAAGGAAGGACTGGAAAGCCCAGGCATACTCCTGGTTCAGCAGTTTCAGTTCCTTGTGTGTGGGATGGTGTCTGGAGTACCGGGCATGCTTGGGTTACAGGATGCACAAATTTTAATTACCCATTTCTCTGCAGTGTAGAATAGACACACACATTCCTCTCTCCCTCTCTCTGTCTTCCTCTCTCTGTCTTTCCTCTCTTCCCCTCTCTTTCCATCTTAAATGGAATGTCTGCAAACCACTGGCACCCACAATATGTAATACGAAAATCTTAAAACTAGACAGAGTCTAATTTCCATTTTTAATCTCTTCCTACAGCACTCTTTTGCTCTAAATCTGCCAGTGAGAACCCCATTATTTAAGCTTTTCACAGAGCAAGATGTAACACTGTCAGGCATCTTGGGCAAATTCAAGATAAGCAAAATGTAGAAGAAAAGTTAGAGAAATTTTTCTCTCTTTCTGCTGGGTGGATTGTAAGCAGACCATTTATGATTATCTGTCAGCTACAAAGGTTTTTTTTATCATACCTTTTAAAAATTAAAAAAAGACAACACTCAATTTTTAAGTATGTCACACCAAAATTATTGGCTTGTTACTTTTCTAGTAATTTTCACCACATTCACCACCCCTAATTTGGTAGCAAAATACTAGCAAAATGTAACAGATTTGCAGCAGATTACGAAAAATGGAGCTGGCAGAAATGCTGAGGAATTTTCTGAGGAAGGGGAGACACAAGAGTAGAGAACAGATTTGTTTTAGTTCTTTGTTTGGTTTTGGCTTTTGATGTTTGTTTCAAATTGCTGTGTTGCCCCGAATTATAAACTGGATATGCAATTTAATGTTAACAAGGAGGTGCACTGCTCAAGAATTTTTTATTGGGGCAACTGGCTTTCAAAGGAAAGCCTCAACGGAAAAAAATTTTAAGTAATTTACTTAACTGTAAATTGCACTTTCCAGGTACTCTTTAAAAAAAAAATCTTGGTATCATAGGTGAAAGCTACTCAGCCTTATTCATGGCCAAAAGAGGGGGAAAAAAACATGCTAAATGGAAACAGAGACCTTTAAGTTGAGGAAAAATGCCTGGGATGTGTTTATTCAGTCCCAACATACCCTTCTTTTCTTTTTGGTAAAGCCTAGTTAAGTGTCTTCCACCTCCTCAAAGAATGCATAGCGATCAGCTAACCTGGTAATCACTTACCTCCCAAACAAGCTGCTAATCCGGAATGGGACCTGCCTTACTTTGCCTCCACTTACCAATACAGTATCTTAAATGGAATGTCTGACAGAATCAAGATAAACCTAGGCGCAGCACACTTCGGATTCTGTTCAGCCAACAAGAGTGAAAAGACCACCTCCCCGTTTTCCAGGGACCCCACACTCACAGGGAGTCCCGCAAAGGGGTGCTAATATTGCCCACGCGGCCCCTAGGTACAGGGGACGGTCTGGGTCGGTCGCCGCACCGGACCGGACCCCACCTCCTGCAGCCGGCCCGCCTCGGGGTGCGGGTCCTTTGGAGATGCGGTCTGCAGCTCCCACAGTCTCCCCACGGCCCAAGTCCAACCACGCCACCACGTCTAGTGGAACGTTTTCAGCACACTACCGACCGGACCTGTGACCCGCAGTTCTCCAGGCGCAACACTCCAGAGCTTGCGCGCGCCGGGCCGCGCTCGGTTTCCTCAACAGTGGAGGGACCCCTCCGTGTCACTCCGCCCGGCTGCGCGGCGCACCCACAGCCTCCCGGGGCCGGGTCAGGGGGTCTCTGCTGGACTCGCGGTCTCCGCGGGCCCGAAGCGCGTTCGCGAACGTGCGCGGCAACCGTGCCCCGTTGGCGCCCCCAGCCCCGGGCCCGCGTCCGGCCCCGCGCACTCACCGCCGACCCAGAGCGCAGATAGGAGGAGCCAGGCCACGGCTCGCCCCATCCCGGACCGCGAGTCTGGAAGTTTTCTCCGCACCGACGGACAGACAGACGCCCCGATCCCGCGCCAGCCAGCCATGCCCCTGCCGGCACCGGGGTCGCACGCGCCGAAGTGGCGCAGCCGGACGGCGGGCCGGGGGCCGAGGGCTGGAAGGGGCGGGCCGGGGGCCGAGTCAAGCGGACCGACCCGGTCGGGGCGGGAGGAGCGGGAGCAGCGGGAGGGGCGGGACTGGGCTGGACAGAGGGCGGGGAGCGGAAGGCAGGGGGCTGAAAGCGGGGAAGGGGTTGGAGACCAACCCAGGGGAGGGACGGGCTGTTGCCGCGGGGAGACCAGCCGTGTAGGTGGGAGGGAAAAGCGGGGAAGGTGGGCGAGGAGTGCAGGGCGCCCGAGGCGGTCTCCCAAGGGGAGAGCCCAGCTCCCTGGGGGCGCGGCGACCCCGCAGTCTGGGCGCAGCACACGGAACCCGACAGCAGCGGCCCTGTCCGCCGCCCGGGATCGGTGCGGGGAGAAGAATCCCGCTGCGCCCCCCGCGGGGAAGCCCGGGGAAGGCGGCTGCGAGCACTGGACGCCGACGAAGGCGCAGAGCAGTGGAAAGCGCCGCTCCGCAGCGAGAATGTGGAGGCAGAGGGAGCAGTGGCAGAGAAAGTTTCGGAACAAACTTAAGCCTCTTTTACTATTAACGCAACAATAACCTCATTTGCATAGTATTTTCTTAAGAAAACATTTTTAGGATTAATTTATTTTAATGTGATCCATTTTGACAACATGAGCAGAATCATGTCCTTCCTTTGCTCAAATTTCTCAACACTCTTTGCGGTTCCGGCTTTCTCGCTGCCTTAAGAGCCAACCGAAGTCCTGCCTGTGGCCTTCCAGGTCCTGCATGACCTGGCCCCTTCTCCTCCTGACATCTCCTTATTCCATTGGTTTGCTCGTTTCTTGTCAGCAGTCCTTGCGCCCTAGGCAGGCTAGCCTCTGGGTAGATTTGACTGAGAAGACAACCCATCCAAGCGAATTTAGACAGGTCATCACACTGACAGCAAAGGCAACATCTACATGGTGTCAACTCCTTGTGTCCCCTGTGCCATGTGACACCAAAGCAGAGGACCAAATGAAGAGACATGAGCAGGGGCTTTCTCTGTTGCTGAGCAGCTGACTCTAAGCCACAGCCAAGCAAGCAGGGTTAACAGACTTACACTGGAGCCTACAGGTGTATTCTGGGGTTTGGGGAGGGCGTGGAAGAAGGAGATGGAAAGTCCTGTGCTCATCTGAAACTGTGGAGAAGGAAGAAAAACAGCCTTGAAGCAACCTCCTGCAGGGTAGGGTATGAAACTGCCCCCCAACAACTACCCAGCAGGCTTACCTCCCCTTGCCCAGGAGGCTTCCCAGGGCAATGTGTGAGACTGTGTGGCAGCACGCACACCTCACCTGCACACCCATGTGGAGGTGCACAAGGTGGCTGGGGCACCTCCACAGAGCGCTTCTGGTCTCCTTGTCATTGCTCCTGGGTAGCAGGCACTCTTCCATCTCAGTGGTTTGCACTGTCTGTTCCCCCTGTCTGGAATGCTCTTACCCCAAACTCATACCTTCTTGGTAAACATTCTTCCTTCAAGTCTTTGCTCAAATCTCACTTTCATCGTGAGGCCTACCTTGGATGAACTGTTCTAGTTATCTATTGCTACGTGACCTGCCACCCCAAACACAATTGGGGGTAAAACAACAGCCTGTTGTATTAGACTCATTGAATCGGTGGGGCAACAATTTGGGCAGGGCACCGGGGAGAATTTTCTCTTTGCTCTCCATCTCTGCCAAGATCTTAGGCTCAAATGGTGAGGGACTAGAGTCATTTAAGATGGGTCAGCAAACTACAGCCGTGGGCCTATCACCTCTTTCCGCAAGTAAGTGTTGTAGGAACGCAGCCATTCATGTGCATATTATCTACAGCTGCATTGATGCTATATCCGCAGAACTGAGTAGTTGTGACAGAGATCTTATAGCCCACAAAGCATGATCTTGCCCTTTACAGAGAAAGCTGGCCAATTCCAGCTCTGAAGGCACACTTCCTCACATAGCTGGCTCTTACACTGAGATGACTGGAAGGTTAGGGCTGCAGACTGGAGCACATAAACAAGGCCTTCTCCGTGGTGGCCTCAGACTAGTTGGAAGTCTTGCGTAGCAGCTCAGGGCTCCAAGAGCAAGCATTCAGCCCACTAAACAAGTAGAAGCTCTATGTGTTCTATCTTTTGTGATCTAGCGTAGTGGTCACCTTGCTCCACATCACCAGACTCTCTTGGTGGGAGCAGTCACACGCACCCTCACAGGGAGGAGACACATCTACTCACCTCTTTCTGATGGAAGTATCGAAGAATTTGCAGCTATGTTTTAAAAGTCCAAAAACACCAACCCTTAGCTAAAATGTGGAATATCAGCTTTACTGTGTTAATTTCATATTGCCATGCATCTAAATGATGTTAGGCAGGAAAAATAGATATGAGTGGGGTGGAAAGAGAGTAAGTCCAGTAAAGCCCACGAGAAGGGACTCAAAGAGTTAACCAGTTAAAACTTGAAAGCCAGAAAAGACTCAGAGTTAATGAGTTAGTCAATTAAAGCTCAAGCCAGCAGCAACTTGACCTGGAATGTTGAATACTCCTCAGATAAAGAAAAGTATCTCAGCATGGCCTATGTTTTCATTGTATCAATTAGCACCTGCTAAAAGGCCTAGCTTATTCAGGAAGAATTCCATCTTAAAGCTATGATAGTATTTTAATCAAACAGACAATAACTCAGCCCACTTTGGAGGCAGGGCAGGCAGTCTTGATTGATCTGCTTCCAAACAGAAAATGCTGTCCTGGGAAGGAATCACAGCCGTAAATTTCTTGTGTAAAGTTAAAAGAAGAAACTTAACGTCTTATCAAAGATAAACATTCTGGGACCATTTGGCGGGTCTGCATCTGCCCCTTTGCTGCTTTCCTGAAAATCCTCAACCACCTATAAAACCCCAGACCCTAAACCTTTCAGTGCGCTTTTCTCTTTGAGGTCGCCCGCACTTTCTAAGTGAGTAACTTCAATAAAACTTTATCTCAGCCTTTTGGCGTTCCTATCTCTGAAGTCACCTGCACTTTCTAACTGTGTAGCCTTAAACTTCCTTTCAGGGAGCTCTCCTCTCTCTGAGGTCGCATGCACTTTCTCTCTCTTTAAGTGCATAACTTTAAATAAAACTTTTATTCTGCTTCACTACTGTGTCTCTGCCCTTCAATTCTTTGTTGCAGCGGGCACCAGAAACAAGGCAAATAAACAACACTCCCCCAACAATGTTGCAATTTAAAGTCCTAATCAGGTGATCAAAATATGTGAAGGGAAATGTGAGAGAAAAAGAAAATCAGACCCCATATTACATAACTATTTATGGGTGAATAGGACTTCTGCCCCAAAAGCTACATTTGTGCAACTTCAGCAGGGCAACACCATTTCTAGAACCTGTACTCAGATGCCCACTAAGTCTCCTGTATCTGCGAAGCTTCCATGTGTTACACAGGACCCCTACTATCTGCACTAAGAAAAAGAAGGAATGTCAAGGATCTGCAGTAGTGTTCACTCTGGGGATAGGGAAGATTACCCCCACTGACTCAAGTATGGAAGGGCTGTGCCCAAAATCAACTGGCATTGTGATCACTACCTGGCATTGACGGTGTTCAACATACATGTGAGAGGAGTTAAAACTTCCAATCAAAGGCCTCATTGGAACAGGCCACAGCACATATGCAAGGTACAAAGACTCTGTCCTCAATGACCCTATTTTAAACTCCCTTCTCACCTCTCTTTGTCCTCCTGCCACACCCCCACACCCCACCCTTTCTGCCTTTCCCTAGTTGTTGCTTGTAATTTACTTCCTCCTCCTGCCTCCAGTCCATCATGTGGACCCCCAGTTCAGAGCTGGCCTCCTCCCATCTACTGTGACATTGCAACTGGCTGGACCTCAGGATACTCTGTGAATGATGGTGTGCTAAGACATGGCTCCTTCCCAGTTTCAGTACCAGAGAGCCATTCGTTCATTTACCATTCCATGGAAATCGCCCGAGCATGTACTCAAGTACAGCCATAGCACCAATATCTAAGGCATATCACTGAGCTGATGCACAGTGCCTCCCTCAGAGAGCCAGTAGCTCATGGCTGCTAGTGCCAAAGTCTGGAACATTTTGGCCATCACCCACCCAGCAGTCATTCTAGTCCTAGCACCTGATTTTCCTTTGCTGAACCATACCTCCTACACTCACATTCCCTCTTACCTGAGCCCAGACATGGGTTCTCCTTGCTGCCTTAAGACCATCCTCTGTCCCTCCTCTCAAAAAAGTCTCTGGCTTTGAATATTTTATCATTAGACCTGCTTGCTGCAGCCATCTACAGACTCCTGGGTCTGTCCCTCTTATTCCTTGAAGATTTCAGTACACGCATAAATGTTGCTCCCTTCACACAATCTGGGTCATAATCTTGGTGGTTTCAGTGCCATATAAATAACATTCCAACAGATTAGCATCCACAGATCCTAAGCCCCTTGACCTCTTTTCCCCCATTTAGCGTGCTGAGCAACATGCTGGAAATAAAAGTGCCAAGTTCTTGAAGTTTTCTGGGGAGCTGGGATGGTGCTTATACGAGGGTCAACTCTGAAGGCCCACTATCTTAAGTGAGCACAAGCATCTTGTAGTTTCTGGGGCAGTATAGATGGTGCACGGGAGACTCTCCATTGAGCCTGCTGGGGGTTCCGGCGTATAGCTCTTCGGGGACTATGTTGTAGGTAAGACAATTCATTCAGAATATTAAATTGAACACAAGTGTATCACTGCACTTGTATAACTAAGTGGCAGCTAAATAGGAATCCATTGCTAAAGAAGACTCATTGGATCCAAATCCTATGGTTTGTTACAGAAGAGGACACCATATAGCAACTGCAGGGAAGTAAGGACATGCATCACAGTTAAGGGTTATTTCATGTTGAGCGGTCCAGAGAGGCCAAATACAGGATCCTTTGTCCTCCCTTTTGTAAGGCTGTGGCTGGATGCACCCAGATCGGAGGCCACCTGGAGCACCTTGGAACCAGGGAGCCCAAAATAGCAGTTCAGCTGGGGACTTTAGATTTTGCTGGTTATCTAAGCATATTCCTGAGGCATAACCAGCCTCTACAGCAGATAATCTATCTCACCGTTTTCAGTAAATAGTGCCAATAAGCTGGTACAAATCTCTGTGAACCTCTTCAGACCCATGATCACAAAGCAATGATGCCAGGGTTCTTGTTCACAAAGCCAAAGAGTGAGTTCAACAAACACTCAAGGTAGGAGAGTAAGGTACAGGCTTTTATTTAGAGATAAAGTGAGAGGAAAGAGCTCCCAGCTCATGCCAGGAGGGGACAAAAGAGTCCGTCGTCGTTGGCTCATTGTCTAGGGGTTTTATTCGCGATTGAGGATTTTCAGGAATGAGGGTAAAGGATTAGGAGTGCTGACTTGTAAGACTGCCTGCCCTGTCCCCAACATGGGCTGGTTTGTTGTCTGTTTGCTTGGGTTGTTTATAGTTGAGATTGCTTACCAAAGCAGTCTTTTGCCTAGGTTGCAGATTACATTAGAGAAGGGAAAATAGCACATAGTTACAATTAAAATAAACTGGGCCTTTTAGCAGGATAAGGTAAACTTTACATTGCCATGATGTAACTGATACAATAAAGTGATGGTTTTTGCTGAGATACTTTTCTTTATCTGCAGAACACTCAAACATTCCAGGCCAAGTTGCTCCTGGCCTTTTGAGCTTTAAGCGATTTCACTGAAGAATGTCTATATTCCTAGTCATGTATACAAATCTTTACCCTCGAGAATTAGTGTGAGTCTGACTTTGCATAATGCTTAACACAGAGTTTTGATAGGGACTTCTTTGCATATTGTTACATTGTTCTGACTGTAAACATCTTGCTCTGCTTTTTCTCCGGAGGCCCTCACCTTCCTCTGCCTAAGCCCATGGTCCCTGTCTCAGCAACGCTATTAATCAGTGTGCTTCACACCCTGATAAGGAGTCACTGGGTATTGGAACTATAGCAAAATAACAGCTAATTCCAAGCCCTCAATAGCTTTTGCAATTGTTGCAAAATGAAATGGAACAAGTAAAAGAATCCATTCAGCACAGAACATGATAGTGGAATAAAGGTGTCAATAAATCTCTCTGTAAGGCAGGAAAGATAAACAAGGAGAGTTTTACTGAAAAAACAAAACAAAACAAAAAAACAACAGTTTGCAAACCGGTGAGTCAGAGCCTTCAGCGGTGAACCAGAAGTCCAAGGAAACAAAGAGAGAAACTTGTTTTTATAGTAAAGATTTTCTGCCCACGTTCCCATACAGGTCTGTATGGGAATGAAGATGTAGGCTTGTTAAGACTTGATTGGTTGATCCGAGTGACAGCTGATTGGTTGATTTCTCAGCCCCGGTCTGTTTTGGCAGCGGTAGCAGGACCATATCAGCGACTCGTTCTGCTTTGGAGAATAGACTTCATTTTGTGGTTCTTCCAAGGACACAGAATATGTGGGTAGCCTCTTGTCAATACATGGCATTCAAATCCATTTTGTTTTAGGCCCTGGTAGCCTGACAGAATCCATCTTATTCTCTGGGGTGGCGGATTTGGGAGAGGCGGAACTCATTTGGTTTTGTCTTATTTTTACAAAGTTAATTTCCTTTCGGGGTTTTTTGGGACTCTGGCTAGAAAATCCATCTAACAGGCTAGAAAACTTAATGGAAGTAAAATTATCCAGCTCAGAAAAGGATGGCGTTGTTTAAGGGTGCCCTTCAGAGTATTGAACAATGTATAAAAAGGCAACTGTTGGGCTTTTGTAGTTTGTTGGGGAGGTGCTATTGTGCATGTAAGAGAATCCACTGAGTGTCCTGGGAAAAGCATAAGGGCAAATATCTAGGTTTGCAATTTATTGTAAAAATAAGTGGTAGTTGTTTTCACCAGGCTGAAAAACACATCTGAAGTTCCACTGTCTGGCACTTGTCATTTGTTAATGGGACAGAGAGTTCTGGTATGATACGCCATTCAGCTAGGATGCTGAAAGGCCAAGTGTCCAGTTCTTGAGTTTGTTCGGTTATAATTTTGTAAGATCCCTCATTGCATGTGTGGAACAGCAGATTTGAAATCACCCAGCTCATGTATTTTCATGTGCATTTTTATGTGTGTGTGTGTGTGTGTGTGTGTGTGTGATGGGGGCAAATTCACATTGTGTTTAAAAGGCTTACATCACCACAGTCAGCAACGGGAAGCGCACATATTGGATCATGTGAGAGACTGCATTTGGCATTCCCACCAGTAATGTAGAATAACAGTGTGTTTAGATTTTTCCCGTTGGCGAAATGAGATTCTGCAGAGAACTCCCATTATTGACTGAAGGGTAGAGACTAGCTGCTGGATCCTGGGTGACTGTGAGAGGGGACTAGAGTAGAGGTGGGCATGGATGTATGCATGTCAATAGCTAATATACCACAATTCCTTATTTTTATTATGGCATCACCCCTTACACTGGGCTTAATGTTTCCCAAACAGAAACTCTGTTCATCTCTCTAGGCTTTTGTCCTAATGGGGAGGGACAGTTATTTGTGTTGGATTGGAGTGGGGGACAAATTGATTCAGTTTTAAATGGGCTCTCACCCCAACCTTCTCATCTTAGCACTCTGTTCTCTGTATTCATTACCACATCTAGGGGTATCCAATGCTACCAATTCCTGAGACTTTTGTGGTTTTATAGTATAATCCAGCTTAGCCCTTACCTTTTCCCCATTGTTGTTTAATGGTTTTCTTAAATGACTTAAATAACTAATCACTTTGATTTATAGCTTCCAAAATTTTGGAGCTACTACCTCCTTTCCCATGTACCCTACTCTCTTAAGTTTATAACTTAAAAAAAATCGTTTATTGTTGTTTAAGTGGCATTTGGAGAAGGAACAGTTTAATCTGTCATCTTTACCTAGAAGTCCCCTATTGATGAATATGCAGGTTGTTTCCATTTTCCCCTATGATATAAAGCAGCCTGGTCTATTCATCTTCACCCCTTTCTGTCTTCCGGAGAAGTGTATGCATTTATACTCTCATTTGACAGTACCTGAGAATGCTTTTTACTCCCACTCTCACCCAAATCTGGTTTTGTTATTCATTCATTCATTCATTCACTCATTTAAAAAGTATATATTGCTGATCCTCTAAGTACAAGTGGTTGATACTGTACCACTGTCAGGAATCAGATGGAGCTTGTACTCTAGAGGGGGAGTCTAGAAACAAGCAAAAAAGAAAAAAAAGCTATAGTTTGTGAAAAGTTTAATGAAGGAAGTAAACTGGATCATAGAGGGGAACTTGGGTACCAAGGTTAGACAGGTGGTCAGAGAAATCCTCTCTGACAAGGCAGCATTTATATATTTTGCCTTTTTAAACTATTTATTATGGAAAATTTTAGACATGGCAAAATTTTAGTCCACTTTTAGTACTGAACGCTCACATACTCATCACTAAGAATCAACAATTATCAACATTTTGCCTATCTAGTTTCATCTGTCCACTCTCCTCCTTTTTGGCTTGAGAATTATAAAAACTGTTTTGAGATCAGGACAATTTATAGCAGAGACCCAGAGGCTTAAAATCCTTATTTTTTAGATTTCTAGACTTCCTATTTATTCAATGCAATGCTGTAAATTGTCCTGATCTCAAAATTGCTTTTATAAATACTCTGTTAAGACATGAAGCTGGGTCAGCCAGGCCAGCCATAAGTTTAAAAATGGAGAAGATACTGTTTCATATGCTGTGGGACTCATGTCCCTTAACTGCCCCAGTACCCAAGGGCCCAGAAGGTAAGGGTTTGCTCGAATGTGTATAAAGCCTGCCAGCTATTATTTTAAACTGGGGTGACCAGTAGTCCCGGTTTGCCTGGGATATCTGGTTTTAAAACTGAAAGTCCGAGTCCTGGGAAACCCCAGTCCTGAGAAAACTGGTATGGTTGGTTGGTCAGCCTACTCTAAATATAAATCCTAATCCGTATGCTTGAATTGACTTAAAGTTTTTGAACCATATATTGGAAAATTGAATACATTCAGAAACAATGGTTAAGTGAGAGTATTAACTGTACTTGTTAATCAAGTAGCTTGTAAGTGAACTGGTAATGAACTTTATATTATTTTTCCTTTTCCTTTGTCCCCTGATTCTTTTTTTGGCCCTTTTCCTCCAATCCTATAAAAACCAAGTAAGAGTTCAGGTGTTAGAGAACTTGTTTTGCCTCTTTTCTGCGGTAGTTAAAAAATATGAAACCTTGCTTTAACAAAAGTGCTTTAGGTAGTTTGTGACACTATGAGATTGTTAGGAACTAGACCACGAGAAGGGCTCAAGTGTGGGATTCCGTGCAAGTCAGGTAGAGGCAGCTGCAGAGCCCTCTGAAGGCCCTTAGAGTAAGGGAGGAAGCTTCGAAGGCTCAGAAGGGACGGAAACATGGCATACATTTCACTCTCTTTGCTAAAATGGATAGTTTAAGGCCTTACACTTATCAAATAGATAGTGGAGACTCGCTAGCTAGAATATCTCCTAATTCAGAGGCAGGCGGCAGTTCAAACTCGAAAGTGACACGACCCGGGGAAGTCTGGGCGTCAGGAGGGTCGTGTCCCACACAGACTGCAGCCCAGGTAGTCCACCTTCGGGTCCCGGTACCGCGCAGAAAAAAGCTGAGGCCGTCAACTGGCGTTGCCACCGCCTTCTTCTAGCAATTGCGCAGGCGTCAGGGCCGCGGCTCCCGCGAAGCCCCTCCCCTCTCCGCCCAGGCGCGAGGCAGGACGGGAGATCCAAGATGGAAGCGTCCATTTGAACATCTCGCCTGAGTTGCTTGATTGCACGCCTGCTTGTCCTTAGGTGTCGCGTTCGCAGCTGCTGCCCATTCTTCCTCCGGAATAGGGGAGGGAGAGGGAATGAGAAGTTGCAGTGGCCGTGGAGTCACCGTGACCCACCCCGTCGCTGCTCTCGGGCCCTCTCGGCCCCCTCGCCTCCGGGGAGCAGCCGGGGCTCGCCGCGCCTGACGCGTCCCGTTACACAGGTGCGGGCCCGGGGCCGGGCCCGCAGTGCTCGGTGGCTCACTGCTTGTCCCCTGATCCTCGCACCCGCCCCGAGGCCAACCCGTGCCCGGCGACGCGGAGGCAGACCCTGAGCGCGTGGAGGAGCCCGGGGACTCCCGGCCTGTGGCTGGTCTTTCTGGGGATGCGCCTCCCCTCCCCTCCTCGCTGACTTCCTTCCTGAGCCAAACACCGTGTACCATGCGGGCCTCAATTTCTGTATAGGTCGTTTGTCTCTCTTACGCGGTCTTTGGTCCAGGCTCTTAGTTTAGCGGTTTCACTTAAAACCTAAAGAGGACGGGGAAGCTCTGCCTTTTTTTGCAGCTACTCAGATGCCCTCTGTGTACATTTGGGTCTCTTCTTGAAGTAGCTTTGTGGTTACCTTTGGTAGGATAGTTTTGTTCCTAAAGTAAGAAATACTGGTATCTTCATTTATAACATATCAATTTAATATAGTACTTATACATGTAGCTCTTTATGTTGCCCATATAAGCAAAAACATAAAAGTTTGGGGTACTGTAAAAGCATTAAATATTTTTCCTTAATCAGTACAGAAAAATACTGTACTGTGAAAATAGTTTTATAATTAATATTTTTGTAATTTTCTCTCAAAGTTTTAATAGGATAACATTTCAAAATTGCACAGCTGAAGTTGGATAAAGTCTCAAGTTCTTTAATGTTGCTTATCCTGTTGACTAGAATATAGGAAGACCAGCTGAATTTTGTTGTTTTCTTGTAAGTTTTTTAAGGCACTATTTTAGTTAATGTCTGAATTTCAAGTGTTCTGAATGCTGAATTTTAGCGGGAGGAAAATAAAAGTGTCATGATTGTGACATACAGTTTTCTCAGGAATAACATTCACAGCAAAATAACTTTGTTACCAGAGATGCTGCATAGGGGCTACAGAAGCTTTGAGATATTGCAGCAAAGAAAACTACTGATGCCAACTGTCCCCCCACCCCACCAGATGAGAGGTCTCTTAATTAAACTATTTTAATTGTGAGTGCTGTTTCAAACACTTTCTAAAGGTTGTCTATGGTGTTGACATCAAATGTTTTGATTCCTGTGTTTGAGGATTTCAGTTTAAATGTGATGGGACAAAATTGGTTTTTAACGTAGGTGCTGTCTCAGAGATGAACTGACATCCCCTTTATGTACTTATGTACCATATCATACAGCGTCAGAAATTCTGTTGGCTGTCAATCACTGGATAGAAATGTTTTGGAAAAAGGGGCATGTTTTTACTCAGAGCTCATCCACATCTTTGTAGTAATGACTGTACTGTAATAGATATTAATTAAAAGCTAGGACTCTTAAATTTGCTACAAGCATTACTGTTGCATGGTGAGAATTACTTGTGCCTTGGTTCTCTCGGTTTGGACCAAAAATTGGAATTGATTATTGTTACATGTTTAGGTGAATTATGGTGTCAAAACTACTGGTGACATTTGATAGTTTATTAGATCCTTTGTAGATTGGTCAACCAACTTCTGACAAATTAGAAGTAATAAGTGTTTTTTTGTTTCATTCCAATATGCCAGAGGTGTGCTTTTCCAATGAGGTTCCAGCATCTGAACAGAAATGACCTTAAATGTTGAGAAGCCAGACAGTCACTGGGATTATAAAGTACAGCTTGTCTAAGTACTTCAATAATGTGAAGTGTGAAAGATTGGTGGGCAATAGTAGGAAGTACAGGACAGGTGCTGTGGACATAAGCATTTGTCTCAACCCACTGGTTTCTGATAATGGTAACTGTCTATTGGTTACTGTGCAAGCAAAGTGTGGAGATTGCTCTGATTGTCCCAGAGAGTCAAGATCTGGAATACCCTTTGATAATATGGTTACTTGTACACCTTCCATATGGTAGGGTTATTTGACACATATATAATTAATGGCTCTTCTGTAAACTTTTATGATATTTTTATTCTGGTTTTGACTCCAGCATCTGACCAGAATATGTTTGAATTCATACAGAAATAATGTTGATATTTGGAACCCATGTCGAACTTCTATGAAGAAAGGGCAACAATGATTGCAGCCGGGGATTTGCAGGAATTTGTTCCTTTCGGTAGAGACCACTGTAAGCACCACCCTAATGCTCTGAACCTTCAGCTTCGCCAGCTGCAGCCGGCCTCTGAATTATGGTCTTCTGACGGTGCTGCAGGCTTGGTGGGATCCCTGCAGGAGGTTACAATCCACGAGAAACACAAGGTTCTGTTAAGTTTTCCATTTTATTTTTGATACATATAGTGACATAATCTACTTGTGATTTAAGGCTACTCAGAGAAATGAATATGCTGCTACTTCTGGGGCAAAGGTTCAGGTTTGGTAACTTCAGTCAAGGCTAATATAGTGACTTTGTTGTATTATAGTATTATAATTATTTAGATGTATAACTCAATTTTATAATGAGAGTCAAGTTCAGTATTATAATTGTGGTTCATTTTTAACCTCTTTCTCTCCACTTTAGTATGTGGGAACCAGATTTCATGTTGTCAAATGATTAGATGTTAGAGTTAGAAATGGTCCCTGCTGAAAAACTTACATGTTTCCAAAAGAGAAAAGAAAGGTACACAAGTAGATAGAGATGTGTGTGTCAGAAAATCAGTCTTTCCTGCCTTATTCCATTTTCATATCCCTTTGGAATACCAAAATCTCAAGAGAGGGGAAGTTTATGTAGTTAGAAATCTGAACCCTTCTCTCTCTCAGTCATGCTGATGGGTGGGACAGGGGAAGGAAGGTGTATGTATATGCAGCGTGAAACAGGGAACTCCCTGTTGTGCACAAACTCCTCCAGTGATTCCCATGTGCACCTCACTGCCCCTCTCCGTAACCACTCTCATGCTTAACAGGCCTTTTTTAGTCTTCCAGCATGTTGGTTTCATCTTTGGATCTATAGATAAGGTATAATTTTTGTTAGTTTATATTTTTGGCAGAATAATATTGTAGGATAATATTAAACATTTAATACAAAAAACTCTTTTTTTTTAATTGAACTATCATTGTATACAGTCTTATATTGTTTTCAGATATACAACACAGTGGTTTAAGAGTTTATTATTAAAACCTCACCCCCACTAGTGTGGTTACTATCTGTCAACACAGAAAGATTTACTGAATCATTGAGTATATTCTCTGTGCTCTACTACTATCCCCGCAACCAACTCATATTATGATTGGGAAATTGTTGTGCACCTTCATCCCCTCCACCCTCCTCATCACCTCCCCCAACCCCTCCCCCATGGTAACCACCAGTCACTTCTCAGTGTCTATGAGTCTACTGCTGCTTTGTTCATTCTGTTTTGTTTTTTTTATAATACAGAGAATTGTTGAGTAAATATTTGTTTATGCAATCTTGTAAGATATATAGTACACACACCCACATACCTTACTATGTTAATTAGTGGCATCAATCCTTTTAAGAGTTTTGAGCCTTACTCCAGGGACATTGAGACAGGGAGAAAGTAGGAGACTTGTATCTGGATAACTGATTTAATTAATAAATATTGCTTTCCATAGTACTGACAAGGAAAAGTGCTTGAACATGCCTTCCATGTGTTATTTTTAAGGAAAGCTGGCAGTTGAGGAAAGGTGTAAGTGACATTGGAGAAGAAGTGGATTATGATGAGGAACTGTATGTGGCTGGAAATATGGTGATCTGGAGCAAAGGGAGTAAAAGCCAGGCACTGGCTGTTTATAAAGCATTTACAGTTGACAGTCCTGTGCAACAGGTGAGTTGATTGGAATTTTAGCATTTGATTGACTATTTAACACTTAAAAAAAAAAAGTCTTTGTTTTAAAGTTTAACAGAAATGATAAAACATAGCATAATGATCCCAGCAGCTGGGTGTATTTTAACATGTAGAGAAGATAATGGTAGGAAAATAAAAATTTCATTTATTTTCTCTGTCATCACATTTTTTTTACACTGTCCCTTGTAGGGTTCATGATAAACTGTCCTTGAGTAATATGACCTGTTATTGTTGATGAAAAGTTTTAAGACATTAAGGGTACAAAAATAATATAACACATGATGATTATAATTGGTTGCAAAATATTGAGTAAATAAAAATTGGGTTTGAGTGATAAGAAAAGGCTTTTCCTAGTTTATATTTTCTAAGATGGGCCTTTAAAAAAGAGAAATGTTAATTTTTCTAAAGATTTTTTTCTAAAGCAAGTCTGGGACAGTCTAAGAATGATAAGATAATTAGGTAAGTCTGTAGATTATAAAATAGCTTGGCAATTTTCAACTCTTATAATACTCGTTAGCTTTGTCTAGGATAGAGGGGTTTCATGCAGGTTGAGCCTCTTGTTTGAATTCACTTTTGCTACAAGGCTTCTGTCTGGTAGGTTTTTTGATTTTTGTCTTCCCTTTTCTTTCCATAAAATTTGCAAACATAGTTTATCTCTCCTTACAACATATATCATTAATTAGTTTGATTTTCTTTTACCTTACTCTTTTTTATTCCCATGATGTATGTGTTGAGTTGATGAGGAGGGACAATTATTACGTAGATGTCATTATTTAGATACCATTAGTTAACAGTTTATTATTGAAATACAGTTTTCTGAGGTAAGCATTTTGTTTTGATTTTAGGCATTGTGGTGTGACTTCATTATATCACAGGATAAATCTGAAAAGGTCTACAGTAAGTTTCTTTTTAAAATTTTATTTCATCTTATGGTTCCAAATATTTACCTCAATGTCTTTTTTTGTTTTTGTTCAAAATACAGTCACTAATAATATGGTCTAGCCTAAGCATTTTTATATTGTACATTAAAGAATTTGTGCTGTTGGGAATTGCAAATTGTGATTGTTGGGATTTTTTTTGGAAAAAAATGTATACATCTTATACCTTTTCTTTTCAGGTAGTGATGAAGTAGAAAAATGCATATGTATACTGCAAAGCTCATGTGTTAACATGCATAGCATAGAAGGAAAGGATTACATAGCTTCTTTACCTTTTCAGGTAAACTTGAATGTTACTGTAGTGTTCTTGTGTTTTGCTGGAGAATATTCATGAAGTAACTGGTTTTAGAAGTCTTGCTACTTTTTGTCTTGTAGTAATTAAGAACATTATTTTTACTCAGTGTAAGTAAATTTTAGCATCTTTAGTGACTTACCATTTTTCCATTCTTTGCATTAAAAATAAATTATTCAGTGAAGTGAATTATGAAGTCTCTTCTGAGAGGTATTTTCAGGTTAAGTATAAGTAATTATTTTGGCTATATTAAAGCAAATAAGCAATATTAGTCTTTTCCCTATTTCTCATCATCTTTTTCATGCCTAGTGCTATTGTTAAAAATTTTGTCACATTGTCATTTTGGTACTGGTATTTGCCAGTGGCAGGAATTTCAGACTGAGCTCTTCCTTAGATTTGAATTTGTCTTAGACTTGCTTGTTAGAATTACTTCTAAAAAAATACAGTTAATGGCCATGTTCTTCTGTAAAGCTCTTTTTTTAAGATTGAGATTAGAAAAAAAATCTAATGTTCTATAATGTTACCTAAAAGCATGTTACAAAGAGTAGCTTCTTTTATTTCTGTTTTTTCCCATCCTTTTATCTGATAGGTTGCAAATGTTTGGCCCACCAAATATGGATTATTGTTTGAACGAAGCAGTTCTTCACATGAAGTACCTCCAGGTCCACCCAGGTACTTAGTTGTACTCATTTCAGAATATTATTGCTTGGGCTTTTTTGTGTTGGTTCTGAGGTAAAATTGTTTACTTAGAAGTTCGAGGTGATGATAATTTCCCATGCTAATAGCGTAAATAAATGCCATTTTCTTTCATCTCATTATTGTGCACTTAATATGTTCTGCTTCTCACTTGGTATGAATTATTTACAGCTTTTTTTCTCCCAACTAGTAAAATTGAACACACAGGTGGTTTAAAGATAAGACTCAATTCTTAGCCCTGCCATTTTTTCACTTTGCTACTTTGGGCAAAAAATCATTAGAACTTTCTTAGTTTTAGTTTCCTTATCTGTAAGAAATACTATCATTTACATCTTAGGTTTTATGCAACGATTAAATAAATGAATGTACATAATCTTTGACACAGGGTTTAGAACATATTAGATACACAGTAAATGGTAGGTGCTTATTGATGGAATGTTTCCTTTGTCTTCTTAATAAATGTGAGCTCACTGCAGGGCGGGAACATACAGTACCTATCATAATGTGATGAAAGTAGTAGACATTAAGTTTTAAAATAATTGCCAAAAGATTTTTATCTCTTTGTTAGTCCTTTTCTCAATCACTCCTTAAAAAAATGCAGCCTTTTAATTTACTTGAAGTTTTTCTTTAAAAAAATTGTAAGTGCAGTCGTTTGTAAATAGGAATAGGAGACTAAATTTTTCTTAGCTGCCAAAAACACATTGTCAGTAAGAGAGGCTTAAAAGAAAACCAGAAAAAACCGCTCAGTGCCTGTTACTCCATTGGTTCTGTAACAGGATGCCTACTGTTTGTAGATACTTCCCCAGCTGTATTGATTTCCTTCTGTGTGTGTTCATAGAATTATCCTGCATACGAAGAGAGATTTCTAGGAATGAATTGCAAGATACTGTGAAAACAGTATGTGAAAAGTTTAGAGGGTTGCTTTTTGAGATTGTAGGTTTCTAGTTGCTTGTGTGATCTGGAGAAGATAATTTGTAAGGAAAATGCAGATTTTGTGCACAAATGAAGTTGTGTTGGTGATTGATTATTTATTTGTTTATTACTAGAGAACCTTTACCTACTATGTTCAGCATGCTGCATCCTCTAGATGAAATAACCCCACTTGTTTGTAAATCTGGAAGTAAGTGTAGTTTTCTGAGTTCTTTTATGTAGGTTTGGGGGAGGGGACAAAATGAAAGAGCTTAAGAAAATATGACTTTTTAAAAAAGTAATGTAACTTGAGCATTTTACAAAAATAACTTTTTTATTATGAAAGTAATTAAAGTCAAAGCAAGAGCTTTTTGAATAACTATGATATTAACTGTTTTAATGTTACTCTTAATAAAACTTGGACCTATAAGTCACTCAGGAATACTGATACATTTGCTAACTTAACTGTAGATGATGTAACTTGTTCCTCAGTAATTAGTAAGTAAATAAATGAATACTTAGATGAACTAAAGTTGTTTTTTCGTTTTGAAGAATAGAAAATGTACAGCCTTAGGCCTGTATTGTATAAATTTAAATATTTTATTTCTCCTGTCCATAATAACATAATTTGCTGGGACTCAGAACTTTTAACATTATTTATAGATGCTTATTTTTAAATTTTAAGTTGGCCAAACATGATAGGTAATTATAAATAATGATGATTTAAAAGCTTAAAAAAATTTATATTCTTTGAGCAATTTTATTTTTAGGACTTTATTCCAAGTTCATATTCTGAAATACCACTGAAATTTTTAATCTTCTATATTAGGGCTTGGCACCCTAGAGTCCATGGGCTCAAGCCAGCCAGCAGCGTGTTTTTTGTATGGCTTGTGAGCTAGGAATGGTTTTTACCTTTTTAAAGGATTGTAGAAAAAAACTAAAATACATGCAACAGAGCCAGTATGTGGTCTGCAAAGCCTAAACTATTTATTTTTTGGTTTTGTTACAGAAAAAGTTTTTTGATAGTTCTATATTATATTGGTAACAATTACAGACAATTAAACATGTTAGAGCCTGTGATTTAATAGTTTGCAGCCATTACTGATCGTGTTTTTGAATAATATTTAATGACCACAGGAATTGCTTATTCATAATATTAACTAAGATATAAAACTAACTATAATATGATTCTAATTTTGTAAAAACAGAAAAAATATGTGTATATGCAAAGGGGAAAGAAATAGAAAGGATACTCCTTGATAATAATGGATATTTTGAGATGATGGAATTAAGAGTTATTTTTACTTCTTTATAAAGTACTTCTCATTTTTATACAGTAATGATATCTTTTATTTTTTAATATTTTAACTGAGAGGGAAGCATTTAGGAAGCTGTCAATAAGGATATAGAAATCAATTAATGGTACTGTATAAGTAAAAGGTAAACTCACTTGGAAAAAACTCTGCATGTGTATTTGGTAAAGCAGATGTAGTGGTGTACTACTTTTTAGCCCTATTTTAATAGTTGCTAGAGAGACCAGATTTTATAAAGAAGAACAGAACAGTAAGGAAGTCAAACTTGGCAGAAGAGTTGATTGCAATTTATAAATAAGTTGTTTACTGAAGGGGTCATGGGCCTTTTATTGGTGGCTAATGAATTTAATGGTGAGTCAGTACAAATTTTCAGTGGATAGTTGCATGTATGTGAAATTGAAACTGGTAACATTGTCATCTTTAAGGTATTTTAAGGAAGTTGATGTCCATGATAAGTTTATTAAAAATTCACAGTTAATTGTGTTAAATATTAATGGGTTTTGTGCCTTAATTGGTTTGGTTTCTCTTTATTTTGAAAAATTGCAAGAAGTCACTTCATAAAGAATAGTCTTGTAAAGGTCATTGTTCAATACCTGGTCATTTCTATTTTATCTTAAGGTCTTTTTGGTTCATCCCGGGTGCAGTATGTTGTAGATAATTCAATGAAAATTGTTTTTCTCAACACTGACCCTTCCATTATAATGACCTATGACTCTGTTCAAAGTTTGCATTCTGTGTGGACTCTTCGGAGAGTCAAAACAGAGGTAAGAATAAAGACAAGCTGTTTGGTAATATGCAAGGGTAGTTAATACTGAAAAATTTCACATTTTTTGTGTGAAATAGATTAAGCTTTGGTAAATAAAATATGTCTTTAATAACTGGCATCTACCCTGAAGTCTCACAAGGAAATTAACTCTTAATCTAATTACTCTTTTTTTTTTTCCCCTTCTCATCATTTTGACTTAAGGAAGAGAATGTTGTTTTGAAGTTCTCTGAACAGGGGGGAACCCCACAGAATGTGGCCACTAGTAGCTCCCTCACAGCACACCTCAGAAGCCTCTCCAAAGGAGATTCCCCCGTGGCTTCACCTTTCCAGAATTACTCCTCCATTCACAGTCAGAGTCGCTCCACCTCATCACCCAGTCTGCACTCTCGTTCACCTTCTATTTCCAACATGGCAGCTCTAAGGTGGGAATGAAGTGTGAAAGTATTTCCTTGTTTTAAACAAGATTCCCAAGAAAAAGATTCCTTCTTTTCAAACTTTCTCTTATGTTTTGAAGAATTTAAAATTTCTATTGATGGCTTTTGGGTATTTTTTAGGGAAAATAGCCATTATGCTTGTTGTGTTAGTTTACTAAGACTTCCAGGTCTACTCTGTTACCATTTTTCAATGAGTCATATTTAGAAGAAGCTACGGGGCCTTGTTGTAAGATTTTTTGCCTCTTTTCCAAGACTGTGTGGCAGCAATTTGATGAATATTGACTGCAAAAATATTTTGGTATTATTTTCTTTTGTCTTAATTTCACATTAGCTTTCTTTTGTTTTTATTAATATTTATCTGGTGATATAGGGACTTAGTTTTGTTGGCATGTGTGTGTCTGAATATACAGGAACATAGTTTAGTCCTGTTTGAATAACAGACAACTCATTTTCTGAGAGAGAATGAACTGGTTTCAGTTTTAAAAGAATGAGTTCTATCAATTCTAAATCCTTAGAATATAGTAAAACACATTAACATGGACCATTTAAGTAACTATTCCTTTTTTAAGAAGTTGTTTTTCTGACTGGGGTTTGCCATGATTTCTCTCTGCATAGAATTGTGGGAAGTGTTTGGGGAAGAATGCTTTATCCACCCGAATCATGAATAGTGATGCCCTCTCCCTTCTGTTTATTTTACAGTCGTGCCCATTCTCCTGCCTTAGGAGTGCACTCATTTTCAGGGGTGCAGAGGTTCAACCTTTCAAGCCATAATCAATCTCCAAAGAGACACAGTATTTCCCATTCTCCAAACAGTAATTCTAATGGCTCCTTTCTTGCACCAGAAACAGAGCCAATTGTTCCAGAACTTTGTATTGACCATTTATGGACAGAAACGATTACTAATACAAGGTTTGGATTATTTATTTTTATATTTAAAGAAAAATGTTGCTGAAAGCCTTAGAAAACACTTGGCATTTTGCTTAAAGCTTCCTTTTGATATAATCACTTATGAATACTTATAAAAATACAGAGATGCATATTAGGGTCACTTCAGTTTCAGTAGAGGATATTAATAATATTAAGGTGATTATAAAAATACCCTTGTCATTTGCTATTTCTTCCTTAATTTAGTCGTAATGGTCACATATGTAAAATGTATTGTAACTTTATAACAAATACATATGTATATTTATATATAATATAAATATAAAAAATAATCTCAGATTTGAGGTGTTTGATGTTTTAGGAGAAACAACTATTTCTGTAGATGGGGAAACTTGGGATTTTATAACATTTTTCTTCAGTTTTATCTTTGTGTTAGTTGAATGTCAGCTCTTCTTTTTGGGAAACAACTCAGACCTCTGTGTGTGTTTCCTCTCTCCTTTTATGTTCTCTTTAGTAATTCATTCATCAGTCAGCCAGTTCTAGTGTGTGCTAGTGGCTTGAGTTAATGGTAAACAGGTCACTGTCCCTGTCCTAAAAAAGACAGTTTAGGATGTGACACCAGGAGGCATTGCCTCTTCTGCTGGTGAGGTGTTGGGAAGGTGACTAGGTGTTTGTTGAGTGGGAGAGTAGAGAAGGGCACAGCAGGCAGGAGAATCAGAATGAGTTTAGACGGCTCAGGGGTCGCATGCTCAGGGGGTCACAGTGTTCTCACTTTGCCTGTGCCAGGAGGAAGGCAAAGGGCTGAGAGAGGGCTTACCCTTTAGGGTAGTTTTCTGTGATAAGAGCTATAAGAATGTGCTTTATATGTGGGTCATAAACTTAGGGAAAGAGCAGAGCAATAAATGTAGGAGTTGTTAGCTTATACATGGTGAGTGAGGCAAGAGAGAGGTGGATTGGGATTTAAAGAGTGGGTAGAGGATGGGTTCCTGGAAGGCCTGTGGGCGAGCTTGCAGTTGCAGAAGTCTGGTGACCCTTGGAAACTGTGTGCAGTAATTGTGTGTTTGTGTATGTGTAGGCTTGTCCTAAGGAGAGGGTTTTCACAGTCATTAGATTCTCAGAGGGGGGTCTGTGACTTCTAAATAGTTAAAAACCAGAAGAGGGTTTGGGTGTGAGGTCTTGGAAACTTAAGATTTTGGGACTCAAAAGAGAGAGAGAGAGGAGAAAGCTGCTATAGTGACAAAGCAAAATTGGTCGAGTGGGAGAAGCAGCAGGAAATGTGCTGAAGCACGGGGAGCCTTTCTAGTACAAGGTGCCAGTGCTGCCAGGTGCTGGTGCTACATGGTGCTAGGAGCCCAGCCCAGAGAGGAGTTACCTGGAGGCAGTGGCTTCACTTGTAGCCTTGGCCAGAGCATGGGGGCTGAGGGCTGTGGAGCAGGGAGGGGTGGAAGAAGTAAATGAGGGCTGAGGGCATGAACATAGGCAAACAGACTGTGTGAGGGAGTTTGCCTTTGAAGTGGGAATGAGGATGCAAAACTAGTGGGCCTCAGGATCAAGGGAGAGTTCTGTTTTTGCTGCACTGTATTGAAGATTTTTAGTCTTCATGATTAAATACCTCTGTGTGTACCTCTAAGAAGTAGGGACATTTTCTTACCTAACCACAGTACCATTTTACACCCCCAGCCAGTTAACAGCAAGTCCTTTATATCATCTAATGCTCAGTCCATTGTCATTTTCAAGACGTTTCTTAATATAAGAGAGTAGGCTATAAGGACTGTACCCAAAGCAGGGAAGGTATTGAAAAAAACAGGGGAGAGGAGATGATAATGGAACAAGGAACCAGAAAGGAGCACAAGTGGAGAGATTAGCCTTGGGAGGACGAAGGTGGTGGTTGGTAGGTATGTAGGACAGGAGGATGGGTTCAAGCCTTACAGCCTCATTTTCTTTGTGAAACAGAGGCAAATGCATATTCTTAGGGGTATAATGGGTAGGTAGTTGGAGGAAAGTAAGGATGCGAATAGTGTTGAATTATCTTTTCTGTTTTTGTTCTTCATATATAAAATAAAAATTTCCTACATTTAAATAACCACTTATCTTTAAATGCCTTATTGTAGGTTGAGTATTTTGCAGATTTTTATTTTGCAGAATTATGGTCTAATGCACCACTCTTAAGTCTTTGCCAATTAGAGGTATAGTTTTAAAAAGGGATGAAATAGAACCTAATAAGAGAGCAGATAGATGGGAGAGGTCATGTTATAAAAAGTCTGATCCCTTAGACCTTTTAAGGGATAGGAATTCAAGTTTGCATTACTTCAGCAGTAGGTAACTTGCATAATATGGAATTAAAAAGTCCACTGATAAGGGAAAAAGACAAGGATGCCCACTCTTCCCACTTTTATTCAACATAGTTCTGGAGGTTCTAGCCACAGTAATCAGACAACACAGAAAAATAAAAGGCATCCAGACTGGCAAGGAAGAAGTCAAACTGTCCCTGTTTGCCGATGACATAATATTGTACAAAAAAAACATTAAAGAATCGACTCCAAAAATTCTAATATCTGAATTCAGCAAAGTTGTGGGATACAAAATTAATACACAGAAATCTGTTGCATTCCTGTACACTAATAATGAACTAGCAGAAAGAGAAATCAGGAAAACAATTCCATTCACAATTGCATCAAAAAGAATAAAATACCTAGGAATAAACCTAAGCAAGGAAGTTAAAGACCTATACCCTGAAAACTATAAGACACTCTTAAGAGAAATTAAAGAGGACACTAATAAATGGAAATTGATCCCATGCTCTTGGCTGGGAAGAATTAATATTGTCAAAATGACCATCCTGTCTAAAGCAATTTACAGATTCAATACAATCCCTATCAAAATACCTATAGCATTCTTCAATGAACTAGAACAAATAGTTCTAAAATTCATATGGAATGGCAAAAGACCCTGAATAGCCAAAGCAATCCTGAGAAGGAAGAATAAAGCAGCGGGATTTATACTCCCTGACTTCAAGCTCTACTACAAAGCCACAGTAATCAAGATAGTTTGGTACTGGCACAAAAACAGAGCCACAGACCAGTGGAACAGAACAAAGAGCCCAGATATAAACCCAAGCATATATGGTCAATTAATATATGATAAAGGAGCCATGGATATACAATGGTGAAAAGACAGCTTCTTCTACAGCTGGTGCTGGCAAAACTGGATAGCTACATGTAAGAGAATGAAACTGGATCATTGTCTAACCCCATACACAAAAGTAAATTCAAAATGGATCAAAGACCTGAATGTAAGTCATGAAACCATAAAACTCTTAGAAAAAAATACAGGCAAAAATCTCTTGGACATAAACATAAGCAACTTCTTCATGAACATAGCTCCCTGGGTAAGGGAAACAAAAGCAAAAATAACAACTGGGACTATATCAAACTAAAAAGCTTCTGTACAGCAAAGGACACCATCAGTAGAACAAAAAGACATCCTACAGTATGGGAGAATATATTCATGAATGACATATCTGATAAGGGGTTGACATCCAAATTATCTAAAGAGCTCACACACCTCAACAAACAAAAAGCAAATAAGCCAATTAAAAAATGGGCAGAGGATCTGAACAGACAGTTCTCCAAAGAAGAAATTCAGATGATCAACAGGCACATGAAAGGATGCTCCACATCGCTAATCATAAGAGATGCAAATTAAAACCACAATGAGATGTCACCTCACACCAGTTAGGATGGCCACCATCTAAGAGACAAACAACAACAAATGTTAGCGAGGATGGTGGGAATGTAAATTAGTTCAACCATTGTGGAAAGCAGTATGGAGGTTCCTTAAAAAACTAAAAATAGAAATACATTTGACCCAGGAATTCCACTTCTAGGAATTTACCCTAAGAATGCAGCACTGCAGTTTGAAAAAGACATATGCACCCTTATGTTTATTGCAGCACTGTTTACAATAGACAAGAAATGGAAGCAACCTAAGTGTCCAACAGTAGATGAATGGATAAAGAAGATATGGTAAATAATGCACAATGGAATATTATTCAGCCATAAGAAGAAAACAGATCCACCATTTGCAACAACATGGATGGAGCTAGAGGGTATTATGCTCAGTGAAATAAGCCAGGTGGAGAAGGACAAATATCAAATAATTTCACTCATCTGTGGAGTATAAGAACAAAGCTAAAACTGAAGGAACAACAGCAGCAGACTCACAGAACCCAAGAATGGACCAACAGTTACCAAAGGGAAAGGGACTGGGGAGGATGGGATAAGGGGGAAAAAGGGGCATTACGGTAAGCACACATAATGTAGCCGGTGGTGGGGGACACGGAGAAGGCAGTATATACAGAGAAGACAAGTAATGATTCTATAGTATCTTACTACACTGATGGACAGTGACTGTAATGGGGTATGTGTGGGGGACTTGATAATAGGGGGAGTCTAGTAACCGTAATGTTCAAGTAATTGTACATTAATGATACCAAAAAAAAAAAAAGTCCACTGATAATGATTAAATTCTTTGTAATTTTTTTTCCCCCTAAAAGCTATGGAAAGGACTCAGAATCAGAGGGCTGAAAGGAATCTTAGAGATCATGAAGCTCAAATCTGAAGTGTTTTTGTGTCTTCAAAGTTTCTGTTTGGTCCAAGTAGTTTTTAGATTTCTTGTAGAGTATTTTCAAAGACTTGGTATAATAGTTACCATGGTAGATTTTTGAACCAATGCTGACAGTTAACTTTATTAATGTATCTATTGCAGAGAAAAAAACTCACAGGCCTTCAAAGTGTTTATTACATCTGACTTGTGTGGGCAAAAGTTCCTGTGCTTTTTAGTAGAGTCCCAGATGCAGTTACGGTAAGAGCATATATTCCTGTTGAATCTTTGTAAACAAATTTAGGGCTGCTTTTTCTTTGGCTTAAGTAGCTTTATTGAAATAATTTGAGTGTCATAAAATTGACATTTTAATGGTACACTTAAATGATTTTTAGCAAATTTACAAAGTTATGCAACCATCACCACAGTCCAGTTTTAAAATCTTAAAAAGATCCCATGTGCTTGATTTGCAGTTCACTTCTGTTCCCATTCCACCCTCAGGTAACCACTGCAGGTCTTTTTGCCTTTCTGGACATATTTAGAATCATGCACATGTAGTTTTTTATTGTCTAGCTTCTTTCAGTTAGCATGTCTTTTAGGACCCATCATGTTATCACATGTATGAGTATTTTTATTCCTCTTGCTATGTAGTAGTCCATTGAAGATGCACCACATTTTGTTTATCCATTCATCAGCTGATGGACATTTGGTCTGTTTCCACTTTTTGACCATTGTGAATTAATGGCGCTACAAATATTGGAGGAAAAGTCTTTGCATAGACATACATGATGTCTTTTTTCTTGGAAAGGTGGCTAGGGTTGGAATTGTTGGGTCAAATAGTAAATTCATGTTTAACTTTTTAGGAAATTGCCAGGCTGTTTCACAGATAGGCTGCACTATATCATACCCCCACCAGTAATTCTTAAGGATTCCACTTTCTTTATCTTTGACAACAGTGGGTATTGTCAGTCTCTTTGTAGCCATTCTAATGAGTGTGGTTTTAATTTTATCTGATGACTTAGGATGTTGAGCATCTTATGTGCTTATTAGTCACTCATTTATCTTCTTAGGTGAAATATATATGTTCAAATCTTTTGCACATTCATTGACCTTTTTATTTTGCAATAGTTATAAATTGTAGGAAGTTGAAAAATAGTAGAGGGGTCCTGTGTACCCTGCATTCTTTTTCTCCCAGAGGTAACATCTTACCTATGTGGTACTTTATCAAAATAAAGAAATTGACATCAGTACAAATTCATATTTCATCAGGTTTTACATGTACTCATTTGCATGTGCATGTATGATTTCAAGTTTTCTCACATGTGTAGATTTGTGCAAATAACCACAATCTATATACAGAACTTCTTTATTACCTCAAAGATCGCCTTTATGCTATTCTTTTGTAGTCATATACACCATACCCACCTGCTGCCATCCTTAACCCCTGGCAACCACTGATCTATCTGTTCTCCATCTCTATAATTTTGTCATTTGAAAATGTTACATAATTGGAATCATATAGTATGTTGCTTTTTGAGATTGGCTTTTTCCGTTAGCATAATACCCTTAAGATCAGTAGAAGTTGCTGCATGTATCAATAGTGTGTTTCTTTTATTTATTTTAATATTTAGCTGTGTAAAGTTTCAAGAGAGTAATGATAAAACCCAGCTCATCTTTGGCTCCATTACCAACATACCGGCAAAGGATGCAGCACCAGTGGAGGTAAATAATAGGTACATTTCTTGAGAAGATGAAAATCATGTGTTTCATGATTTGCACAAATTTGAAAATAAAATTTTTGTCTTTTTTTAGAAGATAGACACCATGCTGGTCCTGGAAAGCAGTGGAAACCTGGTGCTGTACACAGGAGTGGTTCGGGTAAGTAGTAAGTAGCATTTTGTCCTTTTGTAGGACTACCTTCTTAATTACTATTTTTTAATGTTATTTTAGTTTGATATTTCATATTTGTTGCCTCCTGCCTGCAGGATTTGGCAGAAGATTTTTCTAAAAGTTGAAAATGAAGTCTGCAGTTTAGGTTGGTCCTAATATGGAGGCCTCACTGCCATTAGATGGATTGGCACTAAGAACCTGGCACATATGGGGAACCTTTAATGAATATAGGTAGATTATTAAAAAAAAAGTTAAAATGAAGTTTTATAAAATGTAGTTTTAAAATTGATACATGGGTGACTTTATGTAAAAAAACCTCAGGTTTTGTAGTTTCATTATATTAAATGTATATTGGCTGTATTTTTTTGTTTTTTTAACAGTTGTAAAATTTATATATGGAATAATATATAAATTATGAAATTTAAGCACATGTATACAATTTGAAGAATAATGAAGTGAGCATTTATATTACCACTACTCAGGTTAAGAAATAGAATGTTGCCAGTATCTTTATAATCTCCTGGGTGTTTACTCATTGCCCTACCTCCCCACATAGAGACACTACCCTAACTTTTACAATAAATCATTCCTTGTTTTTATTACTAGATTTTTGCATTTGTGTATGTACCACTAAGGAGTAAATTGTGTAGTTTTTCTTGTTTTTGAGTTTTTATATAGAAGAAACCATATCATATATTCTTCTTTGACTTGGTTATTCTGCTCAATGTTATAGTATTTTAGATTGCATGTGTAGCTCTTGTTTACTCACTTTATATAGTATTCCATTATATAATCCTGCCAAAACTTCTGCTACTTTTCCAGTCACTAGGGTTGTTTGTGTTGTTTCTGCAGTTTCCTCTAATACTGCATTAAGAAAATTCTTACAAATGTCTCCAAGTCTTCAGAGCATGTGCATATTCAACTTGGCCATGTGATGCCAAATAGTTTTCCAAAGTGTGGGTTATACCAGCTTATAACATCTCTATTGCTGGCCTCCAGCAGTTATGAGAGCTCCAAATGCTTCTTTAGTACATTCTTGCCATCCATAGTACTACTAGTCTTTTCTTTCTTTTTTTGCTTTTCCAGACTGGTGCTTGCTGCAGCCAGGTGAGCATGAAAGTCTAGGTGCCTCACTTGGCCTTTGCTGACAAGGCTGAGAGGTGGGGCATGGTTTTTCCACCATGTGTGGAGTAGGTTGGTTACTGTCTGAAAGTTTTCTATCTTGTTAGGCTCTATTTCCTGACTCTTGGCCAGGGAGAGCAGTATTTCTTGGGCCTATGTTTTGTCTGCTCCTGTAATGAGGTTGGGTATACCTTGACTTCTGTGCTACCCAAGTCCAGTCCGAGAACTGAATGGTATTACAGACCAGTGTTTAGTTCTCAGATTTTTTGCTGTGTCTTTATTGTTCAGTTTCACACATGGTTCACTCAGGAGTGCATACACATATTTAGAAAATCCTTTTTTTTTCCCTCCCTCTCACTCCCTAATTGGACAGAGAGAAGTTAGTGCCGTGTTACTGCTGGGTAGGGAGGCAATACAGCACTCCACCCCCAGTTCCTGTGGAGGAGGGGAGAGTTGTATTGTTTTATTATTACAGAGCGAGGATGAAAGCCTGTGCCCCTCCTCTGTCACAGCTGCTGTGCATCATGGGGAGCTGGAGAGGGGCCGCCTCATGGCAGTGAAAACAGGGCTCTGTCCACAAGTCTTTGCAGCTGCAGTGCCTGAGAGGTGATGCCACCTAGTTACTGCAGGGCAGAGATTGAAGGTAGGTCTGTCCCCCAGTCTCCATGCGGGTGAGGAGCGCCACCTAGTCCTCACAGGTGGAATGATAGACAGGAATCAGACAGTGGGCTCCTGATGAGGAAGGGACTGAGGGCCATGGCTTTTTTTGTAGTGTTTGTTTGGAGTGGAGCAGGTATGGTGAATATGTTTCTGTCCTGTTTGGTCCCTTTTCCTGACACTTTGGCTAGAAAGAGCAGGGTTTTCTTGTGGCCTCTTTTGGTCTGTACCTGCAGGCATTTCTGGACTGCAGGACCCTCGAATCCAAGGCCTGTTTATGTAAAGAGTTAAAAACAGAAAGCAAGGGAATTCATCATAGGTTATTCCAGGTTCCAGTTGCTACACAGGAAGTCTTCTTTTTCTCACCTTCCAGAGTCTTCTGTGAAAATTTTGTGCAATTTTTTTGTTATAGTAATCACTTAATGTGTTTATTCCATATTCTCATTAACTTGAGGCCTCAGATAGCTTTTTAGAAACTACATATATTAATTCTCATTCTTATTTTGTCTTTTAGTCCTAAGGATTTTATTTTGACAACTCTTGTAATTAATAAGCTGTGGGTAGTATATTGATATGAATCTGTGTATAGTTAAAATTTCACTTGTTCCATTTCCTTTGAAGTCTTTTCAAGAGTTTTCAGCCTGTCTGGAGTTTAACTTATGACATGTTTTTCTTGACCCTGTGAATAGCTCAAATAAGGGTAGTTAGCATAGCTTTTCAACTCATCCTTATAATTTTAAGGTCCATGAAGAATTTGCTTTATGTAAAGTTTTTTTGAGGAAGAAGTATTTTGAGAGTTCATGGTGGAAGACTGATCCTGAGCAGACAGCACAGTTTGAATCAGGTTGGATTCAATTTTTCAAGCATCACTCAGCCTCATTTTTTTTAGCCTCTGAGAATTAATTGGTGTCCTTTCTCTCTACATGGAGATTTAGTTATCAAGATTGCTGCTTGAGGTCTCTGAAAGCTTAGTGTCCTTGCTGTCTTTACCACCAATGAAGCGGGAAAATGCATAGTATATGGAATTTTGTATGTCTTGGCTACATTAATATTCCCCCACTTTTCCACAGATGTCCTAAGTAATGAAGAATCAAATCAAGAGAAATTGTACCTAGAGATGTTTGTAGTTGAATGGTAGAATTTGGTACATTACTAAAATTTTAATTCTCTTTTTATTTTTCAGTTGTGTTTGGTAAGGATGAAATTTGAAATTTCAAAAGAAATACATGCTTATATGCCATAACATTTTATTTAAGGATATGATACATTAAAGCCAATATTTTTTTTCCATGTCTTTTTATTGCTTAAAGGTGGGAAAAGTTTTTATTCCTGGATTGCCAGCTCCCTCCCTGACAATGTCCAACACGATGCCTCGGCCCAGCACTCCACTTGACAGTGTTAGTACTCCTAAGCCCCTTAGCAAACTACTAGGATCCCTAGATGAGGTGAGTAATGAAGAAGTGAGGCCAAAAATGAACAGCAGTTTCAAGAAGTTTGGTCAAATATTGTTTCTATGGTTAACTTTTTTTCTGTTTTAAAAATGGCAGAATTGGAAGTTTAGCTAATGCTTTCAGAATATGAATGTTTTCAACCACACATGTGTCATTAAACATACACTGATCTCCTTGTGTAATGTACTTACTTACTTACTTATTTATTTATTTATTTTGGTATCATTAATCTACAATTATATGAAGAAAATTATGTTTACTAGGCTCCCCCCTTCACCAAGTCCCCCCCACATACCCCTTCACAGTCACTGTCCCTCAGCATAGTAAGATGCTGTAAAATCACTACTTGTCTCCTCTGTGTTGCACAGCCCTCCC